CTTATCGTGAGATTCACGGAAACTCGTCAGTTATGTTTCATTGTTGCATCATTTCCAGTTCTTCTTTCTTTCTATAAACTAATTATAAATTAATGCGTTTAATATTTTTTTTAATCTCAAAAGGACAACTTTCCTCCGACGGAGTTAAAGGTGGAAGGTATTTATCAGCATTAAAGTTTTCGAAGGAAACTCATTCTCAGTTTCACTTCCAACCTTTGTCAAACCAAGAAATTTTAGAAGAAATAGATGAAGGCAAAGTACAATCTTCTGATAATGACATTGAACCTGCTGAGCCAGTTTCTGCCTCACTTGTTGAAATCGTGGAAGAAAGCAGTCCAAGTCAAGCTCAAAATGATGATTTTAAACAGCTTTCGCAAACCAAGAATTCTTCACATTCCTCTGCGATCTTTATATTTCCTCAGCACAAAGTACATACTTTGCAGACAGGTCATCGTAAGCCGCTTGTGAAGTTCAAACAGAACTCTGCAGGAGTCTATCCGTCTTCCAGCAAGTCAAAGATTTTTACGCGAGTATATATTCCCGGAAAACCTCGATTATTCAACACATCTCATGCCGGGCCTAATTGGACGAAATTACTTTTATCTCGGAAATTTACCTCTCTTAAACACAATACTTTTAGAAAAAGTGCATCACAGCTATCCAACAATATAAATGTAGCAGATGAGGCGAGGAAACGAATTAATCAAATGGAACGCAATCAAGCGAGTTATCGTGACATTCTGGAAGCATTCATTTCTCGGATGGGCCTGAACGTAAGTTCAGACCTCCACCCCAAGCCTTCTCCGCGCGTTTCCCATCCGCGTCCTTTTAAGAATGTTCTACTGAACAAGGGAAACACTAATTTACCACCGAAAAAGGCTTCTTTGCAAAGGACATCAAATCAGAGAGGAGGTTACATGAACTTTCATACTGCAAGAAAATCTACTAGTTTGTCTGCGAATTCATTGCAGTCAACTACTGTCATTAAAGGTGTGCCGTTAGAAAAGAAAGAGAAGACAAGTCCGCTAGAAGAAGTTTTTGATAGCCTGTCAGATAAAGAATTCCTTAACAGTAAAAAGAACTCGACATCACAGGGAGGAAAAAAGTATGTAAATAACAGCCCCAATCCGAGAATTTTGAATTCTTCGCTGAGAGACATGACAGCACGTGATAAACCTGGACTCGGGACACATCCTAAAAGCCAAGTATCACCACTAAGTTCTAGTGTTAACAACGCACAGATGAAAGCCACAACGCCACAGCTGAAGAAAAATAAAAGCCAAGACAAGAGCAGAAATATTGCCATAGGACGTGGCAAATCTGGACTCGGGAAGCGTCCTAAGAGCCAAGTATCACCACTAAGTACTAGTGTTAATAGCACACAGACGAAAGGCGGAACGCCACAGCTGAAGGAAAATAAAAGCCAAGACAAAAACAGAAACATTGTGATAGGACGTGACAAATCTGGACTCGGGACACATCTTAAGAGCCAAGTATCACCACTACGTCCTATTGGTAACAACACACAGACGAAAGGCACAACGCCACAGCTGAAGGAAAATAAAAGCCAAGACAAAACCGGTAATATCGTCACAGGTCGTGACAAATCTGGACTCGGGACGCGTCCCAAGAGCCAATTATCACCACTAAGTCCTAGTGTTAACAACACACAGACAAAAGGCACAATGACACAGCTGAAGAAAAATAAAAGCCAAGACAAGAGCAAAAATATTGTGACAGGACTTGACAAATCTGAACTCGGGACGCGTCCTAAGGGTCAAGTATCACCACTAAGTACTAGTGTCAACAATACACAGACGAAAGGCACAATGACACAGCTGAGGTTAAATAAAAGCCAACACAAGAATAGAAATATTGTCACAGGACGTGACAAATCTGGACTCGGGACGCGTCCTAAGGGCCAAGTATCACCACTAAGTACTAGTGTTAATAGCGCAAGGAAGAACACCACAACGACACAGCCGAAGAATAATAACTTGAAGACCCAAGACAAGAGCGCAAATATTCGTGATTACCCTAAAATTGAAACT